CGTACAAACTGGAATGACACAAAACAATGTCCTATTCTTCGTTATTTCACTGTATTCTTATTTCTTTCAGTGGTTTACAAAAAATAAAAATTACACTCAACAGAAAACTTTTCCTGAATTAAATAATAATTCTATAAAAAAATACATTATAAATTTTAAATTTTCTTTCAATCTTAAAAAATGTCATTCCACTTTTAAAATTATCCGTGATACTTGAAAATTTTCCTTCCAAGAATGGGGTATCCCTTCTTATTTTAATTGCATGCTAGAGATGGAATGAAAGTCTGGACGAGTTCATGAAATATTTTAATTAAACTGTCATTCCATATACAGATTTTCAGTCATAAATAGGTTAGTCCAATCTAAGTTAGAAGATATTTCTTGTAATAGAATGAAAATTTAATTAAACTATTTCATAAACTCGTCCAGACGTCCATTCCATCTTCAACAAATAGATGTATCTGGATGGGAAAACTCATTTTTAGACGGAAACTTGTCAAATAAAACTGAAAATTTTAGAATTGGACAAACATTGGAATGATAATTTTTAAATATGATGATTTTTTTTTAAAATAAAATGTTTTTTCATCTTTTATTTCTTGATGAAAGTTTTCTGTTGTTGAACAAAGGATAAAAACAAAAACAAAAACACATTGAAATCATTAAATTTCTCGGTCTTTTGAACTCCTCTTCCACCGTGCCTCTCAGATACAAGGATCGCCACGTTCATGAAGTTTAGCGTGAGCTGCCCCCATCCCCGTATGCCATAACAACCCACTTGCACGCTATGGGAAAGAGGTAGAGTGAAGGAAGAGGTGTTAAACACAAGGAGCAGAAAGGAAAATCAATAGGCAGAGGGATATTTTTTTTAAGAAGATGACACAAACATCTTCTTTCTTTTACTGCATTCTTCTTTCTTTCACAATTTTGGAGTTTTGGTGAAGAGTCTACCATGTTCGCTTTTCAACGCACCTACACTTCCTTCTTCACTTTTTATTCTCATTTTCACCCTTCAAACGTTTTCTTTGAGGGTGTTAGGGCGCCGGGTACAAACAAAGTAAAATGACACAAACGTTTGTTCTTCTTTTACTGTATTCTTCACTGTTTTGCAGTTTTAGTGAAGGGTTTCCCATCTTTGCACATTCTTGTACACTCTTTTCAGCGCACCTGCACATTTTATCAGGGTGCAAGGTATGTTTAAGTAAGACCCTCACAACAGATAGGACAACTGTTATAAGGATGCGGGCGATGGTAGCAGCCCTCCCGCTGATCTGTAGGACGAAAACCATTCAGGTAAGCAACTTCGTCACAACAGGAGCTAAAACCTCTAGCATCAACCATACCTTTAAAGCATGCACAACATATATATATGTATATATACACCGTGAATCAGAGCACTAAGGCCAAAAAAAGCAAAACAAGGAAAGAAAAAGAAGTAAGGAAGGAAAGCCCCACCTGTTCATCACCTCTTACTTACAAGGCCAGCCACGTGGATAACAGGTTTATCTGTGAAACTCCTACGAAACAGTCTGTCACAACCCCTCGTTTGTTGTCCTCTTCTCCCTCCCTCTCCGCCTACGGTTTACCGGGCAGCTCTGTTTGACGATATATATAGCTCTCTATACGGGGATGGGGTTAGCTCACGCTCAGCTTCATCAACGTGGAGAGGAGTCGGTGAAACTCCGACGAAACAGTTTGTAACAGCCCGTCGGCCCAGGTTCTCAGGCCCGGTGCTCGACGCGCCTACTGCCACTCCACGTCTATTCCCGCGCCTACGACTCTGCTTTCGCCTACTCGCTACTCCCGGGCCTACTCCCACCTGGTCGACGTGCTCCGTGCTTAGTGCTTTGGCGCTTCGTACTTGGTGAGTTGGTGCTTTCGTGAATTGGTGCTGTGTGCGTCGGTGGTTCGCGCGTGGATCGTGAGTTGCTGCTAAGTACTCCGACGTGAGCTTCGACGTGTATTCCTGCTAGAGTGAGTGTTTCTACTTCACCTCGAACCCACACCCCCAGCCCCTTTTGAAAAAGCCATTAAAGAAACCTTGCATTCCTTTTCTTTTTTGGGGAGGAGGTAGATAATGGGGGGATGGGGGTCACTGCGGGAAAGCGGGTCAGGCTATTGTGTGGTGGTGGTGGTGGTGTGTGTGGGGAGAGAGAGAGAGAGAGAGAGAGAGAGAGAGAGAGAGAGAGAGCGCTGACTCAGTGTGGTGGGACTGGGGAGGAAGAGAGTAAAATATGGAAAGAAATGGAAAGAAACATCGATAGCCTGAAATACCTGGCGCAGGGCAGTTAATCATAAGGCCGCTCCAAAGAGAAAACACCGAGGGAGAATGTTGAGGAGGAAGATCTTGAGGAGGCAGAAGACGTACGTTTGGTGGTGGAGGAGACAGACAAGGAGGACAAAGACGAAGGTGCGAGGAAGGAAGAGCGAGAGGAGGAGGAAGTGTTTTAGGTGAAATGCGTTTTTCTCTCTCTCCTGCTTTCCCTCTCTCTCTCCTTCTTGCCCGTGTGCAACCGTGTTGAGATGTTTAAAAAAAATGGAGCGATCTTGGTAATAAATGTAGCGCTTAAGTCCACCAGATAAAGAAAAAGAAGCACCTCTTCCTTTTCTTTATCTCCATCCTACTCCCTACCTCCCTCCGTCCTACTCCCTACCTCCCCTTTCCTCCCTCGGTCGGGCGTTAAGAAGGAAGGGCGGCCGGTCGAGGGAGGAAGGGGGAGGTAGGGAGTAGGACGGAGGGAGGAATTGAAGGAGGAGGTCAGGTGGTGATCGGGCTGAGGAAGGAAGGGGAGGAAGGAGATCGGGGAAAGGAGGAAGTCAGACAGAGATCGGGCGAACGAAGGGGGCGGGCGAAGGGGAATGAGGCGGCCAGGTGGACGGAGGCCAGAGGGAAGTTGAAGAGAGTAGGGTGCGGAGGAGGCCAGTAGGCAGGGGGGGAAAGGGGGCAGAGAGTAGGGCAGAAGCAGGAGGTCAGGTGGAGATCGGGTCAAGTAAGGAAGGGGAGGAAGGAGATTGGGGGAAGGAGGAGGTGAGTGCAAATCGGGCGGAGGAAGGAGGAGGATGGAGGAGATAGAGGGAAGGAGGTCAGGCGGAGATTGGGCGAAGGGAGGGAAGGGGAGTGAGGTGGCCAGGCGAAGGGAGGGCAGAGGGAGGTTTTAAGTGAAGGTCCAGAGAAGGCAGGGCGAAAAGGGAGGCGGCAGGGAGAAGTAGAGCGGAGGGAGGACAGAAAGCAGAAGGCAGATTAGAGATTGAGTGACGTATACAGCAAGGGAAGAGGCGAGGGGAGACGAGCATCGGAAAAAGCGTGAAGAGGAAGAGGAGGAGGTGGAAGGAGGCCGGGAGGAAGGGGAAAGACGGCAGGGTGAAGTCGGGCCGAGGGAGGGTATTCTGGATTATTGACCGACTCTCCTGTGACACCTGTCTGGACAGGGTCGGGGTGCGTCTTGGCTCCTGAATTCATCACCTATGCCGCCACCATTATCAATCTATTGCAGCCGCCGCCGCCGTCTGTGCCGAAAGCTGTCCACCATTTCCTCATTGTACACACATCCCTCCCTATCACCCAGACATTCGTTGTCCCTTTTGTGCTCAAGGACGCTATCAGGACTGCATGATGCCGCACTGTGATGAACGTCCTGCTGTTTTTTTGACATGTGGACAGCATGTCCTTTCCTTTGTCAGGACTGTTTTGATGGGATGGGATGACCCGAATAGAACGCCCGGTCATTATAGCCGTATCTGGACTTAAAATTGCACCAAATACGGCTATAATGACCGGGCGTTCTATTCGGGTGAAGACGGTAGCCGTCCTGCTGAATGCTGTGCTGAAGCAGCTCTCCTTGCTTGGGTATCCTTGTGAACATCCACGTCATCCTCCTCTCAGCGTGCCTGTCCTATCTGCCAGGGTGGGGTGGGGGCTCCTCTTCCTCTTCCTGACTGGTCAATAGAATCAAGCAGGTTGGTCAAGAGCAACACTAATCGTAGGACAGATAAAGCTTTCGATACTACCAACAGATGTGGAGTTGAAGAAAGAACAAAAAAAAAAAAAAAAAAAAAAAAAAAAAAAAAAAAAAAAAAAAAAAAAAAAAAAAAAAAGAAGTGCAAATTTCTTGAAGAAAAGAAAAACGAGAACAAATAAATAAATAAATAAATAAATAAAATACGTTGGACTTTGTTGTTGACAGTGGCAATTGGTTTATCTGTGGGATATGTGTCATTTGTTGCTTTCTTCCTTTGTCTTTTCTTTGATTGGATCGTTTTCTCCTTCTCTTGCCTCTGTGAGGTCTGGTTTCCTCCTCCTTTTCTTTACCTCTTTTTTTGCCTTTAGGTTGCGTGCAAGTGGGTCCTTGTGACACACGGGGATGGGGGCAGCCAGCGCTCAACCTGTCATCCACGTGGCTGGCCTTGTACGTAAGAGGTGATGAACAGGTGGGGCTTTCCTTCCTTCTTTTCCTTTCCTTCTTTTCCTTTTTCTCCCCGTCGCGCTCTGATTTACAGTGTGACAATATATGTATGGGTGAATGATAGTCTGCTTTGACTTTTGCCACAGGTACCTTGAGGGCAGTGGTTGGTGGTCTCCACCTCCTCAGAGGGTATCAGTTGTCGGGGCCGTCGTTGATACGTAACCACAACCGGGGTTAAGGTGGATTATCACTTACAGTGTAATCATCAGGTTAGGGGATTCTGCAGACTGTTTTTGAGGGTTCAGCCTCTACTGATTGACGAGTCGGTGAAACTCCGACGAAACAGTTTGTCACAGCCCCTCGTTTCTTGTCCTCTTCTCCCTCTTGGCCCTCTCTGCCTACGGTTTACCGTAGGCAGCTCTGTTTGACGATATATATACATGCTCAATAAACAATGGAATGCTCCGTCTTCCAAGAAATCACAGGAAACACTTCTCTTTCGCAAACTCGTTCTGTAATACAATCTCACCGCTGATTTGGTTCCGCTGTACACCGACTCGACTCATCAGTGCTTTGGTTCCGTTGATTTCAGGTTGGGGAAACCGTAGGCAGAGAGGGAGAAGAGGACTACAAATGAGGGGCTGTGACAGGCTGTTGCGTCGGAGTGTCACCTACTGAGTCATCAGGAGGCTGCATATATCAGGAAGAATGCTTTGGAATTGAAAAATGTGAGCAGTATGGTGAATGAAGAAAGCCTGAAATCAATCTGGGGAGCTTTCTCTTTCTTTCATTTGTCATTTTCCTTTCTGGATGTGAGGCATAAAAAAAAAAAGAAAAAAAAAGTCCAGTGTTTATGGAGTAATAATATACAGTGATACATCATTTTCAATCTGTTTTATCGTTACTTCTTGCCTGTGAGGCGATCGATGATGCTTGTGCTCACCCATCCACGGAGCTTGGCTTTGGGTTGTCGTCGCATGTACATGTAAGGCGATCCATGATGCTTGTGCTCACCAATCCATCCGTCGAGCTGTACTTCTCTCTGGGTTGTGGATTATGACGGTTATAGTGTTTCTTTTGTGACCAATCTTTTTGTTTTGCTTATGAACATTGCGACCTGCAGATCGACGATCTCCAGTCATTACGATGGATCGATCAATTGATGGACAGTGTGGATGGATGGATGGATGGTGGATGGATGGATGGTGGATGGATGGATGGTGGATGGATGGATGGATGGTGGATGGATGGATGGATGGTGGATGGTGGATGGTGGATGGATGGACAGTGTGGATTGACAAGGTAAGACTAGCGATTTCCAGGCATTATGATGGATGGATGGATGGATGGATGGATGGACGGTGTGGATTGATAAGGTATCAAGATTGTAGATCTCCAGGTATTACGATGGATGGAGGGATGGATGGAGCGATGGAAAGTGTGGATTGACGATTTCCAGGCGTTACGATGGATGGAGGGATGGATGGAGGGATGGATGGAGGGATGGGCAGTGCGGATTGATAAGGTATGGAGATTGGGGATTTCCAGGCGTTACGATGGATGTATGGATGGATGGACTGTGTGGATTGACAAGGTATCAAGACCGGAGGAACACATAAGATACAAAAAAGAAACAAAAAAACAAAAAAAATTGCTGAGTTGATGATGCGAAGACCTGATAGACTGTCAGGGTATACGTTCATATGGTTCGCTTTTGTCGATGGTGCTCGTGATACCTGCGTTTTGTGGTTGGTTTGCCTCTGTTTCATGTGGGAAAAAGAGTCCACAATCACCCATTGACAGTCAATTGATCGGTTTCAAATTCGGATTCGGATCCATTAATCAACACCAATCAACCAATCAAGAAGGCCAATTAGTCAGCACACCAATCAGTCAATCAATGCCAATCAATTGATTTATATCAAGCAACGTTAATCAGAGATTGGTTGTCAAGTTTTGCCGGTTGGTCGTTGGATCTATGATCCAACGGTGGAGATTAAAGCACCAGTACATGGCCCCAGCCAAGCTGAGAGTCCGATTGAGCCTCTCCTAAAATTTTGGAGGCTCGCGCGCCGTCGATGAAAGTAATCCCACCGCGGGGGCCCCCTCCGAAAGGCGCCCCCGCAACAGATGGCTGGCATGTACTGGTCGTTTAAGGCTACTGGTCATCAGTAAAGAGTCCCACCACTGGACTGGAGGTGGGTTCCAGCCACTTAGCATGAACCCCACGCTTATCATACGAGGTGTAGGGCATACTCACACCCTCCTAAAGGGGGCACCCCCGCAGCCGATGGCTGGCATCTACTGGTCGTTTAAGGCTACTGATCATCAGTTAAGAGTCCCACTGGACTGGAGGTGGGTTCGAGCCACTTAAACTTTTCTGAGTTAGCATGAACCCCATGCTTATCATACGAGGTGTAGGGTGTACTCACACTCGGACTTCTTGGACTCATCTCTGGACATGATTGCGGTCAGATGCATCCAGGTCGGGCCATAATTGTGGGAAGATGCATTTAGAAGAGTGCTAGTGTAAGTATGCCCTTACACATGCACGCCAGTTTCTGTCAAGTCCTTCAGGGCACAACGGGTAGCCTAGCTCTCTGGCTACTACTAGTAGGAGTTGTATACACAGCACTGTGTTAAAATATATATATATATATAATATATGTATATACAGCCATTACCTCTGGACCTGAACTGTGCACAGGCTTGCTGTAGCTACGCACATGGCTATTTTTATTCGACTTTCGGGTGATAATTTTTGGGTAGTCTCCATCCAAGTGTGGTGTGAGAATTGGGAAGAAGCAACGAGGGTCTGGACCTTACTTGGAATTGAAAGGCATTCAATGTGTTTGTTTTTTCCCCCCCCAGCATTCAACGTTTTAAATTTTAGCACATTTCTCTTTTTTTGTTTGGCAGCTACTGCCTCCCTCCTTTCTGCTAGAGGGAACAACAGTCTGGCTCTCTCTGGCTCCTTTTCGACAGTGATGGGCAAGTCAGTCCAGAGAACACCACAGTCTCCCCGACACTCGCATGCAGCATCGTTTATTTCAAACCCTTGCGCAATCGCTGCCCCAACACTCGCATGCAGCATCGTTTATTTCAAACCTTTTCTCAATCGCTGCCCCAACACTCGCATGCAGCATCGTTTATTTCAAACCCTTGCTCAATCGCTGCCCCAACACTCGCATGCAGCATCGTTTATTTCAAACCCTTGCTCAATCGACCCCTTTCCACTCTTCCTGTGTTTGGCCTTAAATGGCTGTATTCCTCCTTGCTGCCCCAACACTCGCATGCAGCATCGTTTTTTTCAAACCCTTGCCCAATCAACCCCTCCCTTCTCTCTTTCTGTGCTTGGCGGTAGATGGCTGCATTCCTCCTTGCTGCCTCCATCCCCTCCATGGTCCAGCGTGCTCCTGTTCGCACTCGTCCACCTTCCTTTCTTGAGACATGCCCATCTCCAATTTTCCATGCCACAACTCCTTTTATCGTGTCTCGTTGATAGCGTGCACCATTGTTTCCTTGTCTGCCTTGATTCTCTCCCTCCCTGCTCCACGGGTTGTTGCTCTTCCCTTGGTGAGAATGACCATATCCTCTCCGTCCCTGCTTCACAGGTTGTCGAAGGATCTAAAAGCAACGTCACTATGAACGCTTGGCTGCCACAAGCCAGTTCTCCCTGTGGTAACTACAGCCAGCCAGTTCTCCCTGTGGTAACTACAGCCAGCCAGTTCTCCCTGTGGTAACTACAGCCAGCCAGTT